ACTCCTATTCCTCTACCTCCGCGCACCCTTTCCAGGCCTCTTCTTTCACGGCCTACTTGAAAGATCATATCGTGATAGATCGACTAGACAGGTATCGAGAGTATGGTCTAGAGCATGCCAAACAGAATGCCTCAAATTAAAAGGAACCTTGGTAAGCCTACCAAATTCAGATACTGAAGATATTGCCGGCAATCTTGTTTTGTTGGTTCTTGTGAAACATTGCCGAAAGTGTCTACATACTTTTGATACAAGGTTTCAAAATTTTCGCATCAATCAAAAAAAAACAAGGCTGCATGTAAACTGGTGAAAATGAGTGATTCGAAGATTTTGCATACGAGAAATTGAATGGTGGCGGTCGCATGGTGCAGAAGTCAACAGTTTTTGAAAGAATGAGAATTTTTAGGGTGTCCACATACTTTTGGTTCGCACTGTAGTTACTTCTATGCAAACGCTCAGAATGCCTTTTTCTTTACCCACGATTATCAATGTAAATGATGATGTGATGAGAGTGCGACCCAGGTATGTTTTTCTTGCATATTTGATGGCGCGTGTGGGCAGTCAAGATTCGTGAGCGCTACTGTAGTGTTAGACATCTACAGCAGACTTGTTGGGTGTAAACTCGACCTTTCGACACCAACTATTCCATAAAGTTTGTTTAGCCCTTGCCCAAAGGATCCTCAATCTTCTCCACTCATTAATTGTGAAACGCAGTCGCACATTGTGATGCTCCTTTTTTTACTTTTGCGAGCACGGATGTTACCGGTGCTCGGCCGAGAAGCAGATCAGTGAAGGCGTCGAATATCAGACGATCTTTGTTCTTGCTGTTGCTGCTTCATAATAGGTGGCAGTTGCTCCCGGTGGAGTGAGCAATGATGTGGGCTGCGCATTTCGTAGTAAAGATGATCTCAGGCTGGAGCAGCTGTACCCCGTCATAGTTTCAAGGCAAGAAGAGGCTCGATGAAGAGGCGGCATTTTCAACTAAGAAGTAAACCTGTTGATCGTTTGGAGTTCATCGTTCCTGTCAATTCCTATCTAGGGAGACTTTTTAAAGGCCTGTTCTACGGTAAAGTTTACGAAGGACTTCACGATTAGTTGGGAGTTCGAATGAGAAAAAAGAAAAGAGAAAGGAGAAGAAGAAGACGAGGAGAAGAAAGAAGGAGAGGAAACCCACCTAGTGGTAAGCCAGGAGGAAGCTGTTAGGGAGCGGACCCACACGCAATTCGCAGCTCATGATATGCTGCTGCCAGTCTAGCATGGCCGTCTCCGAGACGCTTCCATCGTAACACGCCCACCGTTTGACCAACCATTCACGGAAGTTTTCTGGAGGTTTAATAGAGAGAGAGAGAGCGTTAGCGTTGAAGAGGGCAGCACCATTGAGAACCGCATCAATGCTCAAATCAGCGGGCGAAGAAGGTCTCTCATTTCTCGAAGTTCGAGCAACTTCTCATGATTTTTCCTCATCCATCTTTTCCTCTCGTCATCACTGACCGCCTCTATTGCTGTTCGTATGGGTTGCCTTTTAGTCGTAAACTCCGCTTTTGAAGGGATCATTTTCTACAGCGTGAAGAATTTACTAAGATCTCCTACCAGTGTTGCACTCTAGAAGACGCTAGGGTCTTGTCATCAGGTGCTGGCTGAATAGGTTTTGCTCACACCACGACCTACCAAAAGGCTTGACTTCGTCTCAACCATTCAATTGTCACTCTTCTATCTTATCTCTTCTGCACCTCGTAATGTCTTTTTTCATAGCACTGTTTACCTCACCAAAAACAAGATTTAGTTAGCGCTTTTGACAGTTCCAAAGAGTTCCGTTTAACTGCGGTCAACTTTTTATTTCTCGAGGAAATAGTAATCCAATCCGAACATATTGTTGCAAAACTCGACTAATAAAGAACAAGTAATGAGATGTGTTAGCCTTCATAGTTGATTGGAGTCTGCCTTGAGTATACGGCTTATGGTAATTTTCGGTTTTCTCCGTTTCCAGTCTGAAAATAATGAAACCTCCTACAGTTAGTGAAACACTATTTCGCTCTTATTTCGCTTAGCAAAAAAGCTTGTAAAAAATGTCCATGCCATTGTTTGTGTTTTTGTGCCTTTGCCACGAGGTTGTTAGATGGAAGGATCAATCATGACCAGCGTTTTGATCTTCCCGTCAAAACGTAATAAATCAAAATAATTCAAAACCAATATCCAAATTTCCCGGATTTTTTTTGACAGTGACTCCAAGCCCCAGGTCTAACTTAAAAAAATTCAAAGGGAACCAGACAACTGGAGTGATTCAAATTCATGGAAGCGAAGCAGTAGTGTATAGATATTTATATCACCGATGTTCAGATGCATCATGAACCACCACTGTTGAATAATGCAGCAAAAATAAGTGCAAAAAGAGCTTACGCTTTATTAGCGGACTTGTGACGAATTTTCTATACGGCTCATTGCATAATATCAGCGTTGTAGCTGCACAACAGCCATGTGATCCAAGTACCGCTAACATGAAGTTTCCAAGTCCTGGTAAGTGGAAATATTTTTCACATAAATAAAACATTAATAGAAAAGTTCTGATGCTGCTCGAAGCAAGGATGCCGTCCTACTGCCATTTCCTTCGAATACTTTTCAAAAAGGGCGCAGCCACTTCGTTCCTGTGTAGAGCCTAACCGTAAGATGTCGGTCAGACTCTGCGATTGCATCGCGATGGACCAGTGCCGGAGCGACGCGATCGCTCCATCGCTTGTCCACCGCGATGCAGTCGCTCTGCCTAGTGCGATTCATCGCGCGATGCAATCTCGACATCCAGCCACTATCCAGACTTGTAACTCGTACACATGTACACACTACATACATACTACCGTATATGCTCCGCCCACCACGCACGCTCCGCCCACTTTTGAGTTATAAAAAAGTGGTTATATCTCGACATCCAGGCGCTTTCCAGACTTGTAACTCGTACACATGTACACACTACACACGTACTGTCGTATATGCTCCGCCCACCACGCACGCTCCGCCCACTTTTGAGTTTTGACAAGTTTTTATATTTCGACATCCAGCTGCTCCCTTGACTTGTCGACCCGGCACGACACGACACCCGGGACATACCCGACATACAAACTCCGCCCACCGCGCAAACTCCGCCCCTTTTGTATTTTTACGGATTTTTGTGTTTTTTCTCGACATATCGGTATGTCGCCATTCATCACCAACTTTCAACTAAGTGTTAATCCCAGTAAAGGAATATGTGGCAAAATCAGTGTTCTTCATATCACGAAATTCGATCGTCACTGCTCGTCTCTAGGAAGAAATAAGGTCGTCCATTTCAACTCATGCCGGCGTCACTGTCTACTTTAAGAGTTCTGTTAGTGGCGCTCAGCGAGAGAGGGCTTTCGGCACATTTATGCAGCTGAAGGTCTAGACACGTTGTAGCAAAGGATAAGCCGAAAGTGGTTCGGAAGTTTTGCCATGACTGCTACAGCCTTGAAGACCAACCACGGTTCGGACACCCACTGACAGTGGATATTGAGCGCATCCGGTTATGGTTTCGGCGCCTAGCGCCCCTTTTAAGCTCGAATGGTTTGAATAATTTAATTGTGACTTGTGCATGTTCGGTTGATATTTCAAACTGTATTATCGATGGGCGGAAGTGGTGTAGTGACAAGTGGCGCGCTTACCACGCGAGCGGTCCGGGGATCAAATCCTGGGTCGTGAGTCGCCCGGGCCAACCAAGCCTTCCATCCCTCCGGGGTCGGTTAATTGGTACCAGACTTGTCTGGGAGGATAAAAACACTGACTTGTACATCGGCTGGCCCCCGCAAGTCATTGTATAGGCCACATCGCATTCAAACGCCACTACGAATGTACAAATGGAAGTAGAATGCGTGCCGCATCCCAAAAAGGGATTGATCAACGGCAAATGCTTTATCCTTTATCCTTTTTATTAGTTGACTGGCTTGCTGACATTCACAAGTATGTGTAGAAACACTCACTGCACTTATAGATCCGCCACAGAATTACATGGTTTCATTTCGCTAGCGACTGTCCTGTGGTTAAGGTGGTCATCTCTTTATTGTAGTCTATTGTTGGGATTCTAGTTTAGCTTTGCAGCGTTATGAAAATATTTTTGCAGATTCTTCTTCGAAAGTTGCCTGGTTAGTCGTTTAGTCGTATTTGTTGAGATGAACCATAGTAAAGTTTCTGCGATTGCAATATGCGTGTCATTTGTTATAGGTCTGACGAAGGTGTTGGAACAGCGACGGCTCACCAACAAAGCTTGCAAGAACTCATAAACAAAATTTGCTGAAGAGAAGACATGCAAAATGTGAGGCTTAGCGCAGCTTAATTATAATAATTATTATAGTACAAAAAGGTGTTGCTCCAGCTTGAACGCACACCCTACGACTAAACCGGTGATCATTTCGCCGACTGAGGTGCAAGTGGACCAGTGAGACAAACAACAAATCATCCAGCACACTGGATGTGGGGACCTTCTTGGATGGAACCCTGGCCCATGGCGGCATTCCTGGGAGAACCCCTTGTGTTACTTGGAAACCCGTGAGCATCCTTGCGCCTTGTACGTCGGCAGTTTTGTGCAGCGAAACGGGTACATGTTTTGTGCTTCCAAACAAAGCTTGCTACCTTATGCGAATTGGGCTTCACTCCACTGACCTAATCGTGGAGTGTGCCTTTGAAACCTATTATTTCAATTCTAGACGTTGCTATTAAACTTAGTCGTAACAAATTGCTTCAGATACAAATATACCTCTTCCTGTGTTGCCTGAACTCCCAAAAATATACATCAGAGCGACTATCGGTATAAGCAAGGTGAGGCCTGGTATCGACACCTGAATATGAAATATATCATTTTATTGGAAGAAGAGTTTTACCTTTTCTCTTGATTACTGTAGAAACTGTTGTGTGGGTCAAGTTACAAATCAGAAATGCCTGGGTGCTTGAGAAGAAATGGCGAGCTGTTAGGGTTATGGTTTAAAGGAAGGTGCTGACTACTATAATTCTATTACTGTGAGCTAACGATTTTTGACAAGGACACCCCACATTTGCTCAGCGATTACAGTGGAGCAGCTCCTGGAGATTTTGCGAACTTGTCTAGATTTCGAATTCCCTTTTGAGTATCCATTATTTCGAGGACAAGAATATATTTGTGATCAATATATTGACCATCGCTATCTCTCACTATTACACTTGTTGCCAACGAGCAACCAATGCCTCGTGAAAGATTTGGCGCGTTACTTCCAGAAGCCTCTCAGCTTAAAGCGGAACATTTCGGTTGATGTGCTTTGCCGAATCGCATTTTCGTCCGCGAAGGACTGCTGAGTAAGAGGAACAGATGGCATTCCAGAGGACTCTAATCAGTATGCAGTGCTGTGGATTCAGCAGAGAGCTCTCATCGTGAATCGAATATCTGAAGTTGCATCATCTTCGAAACATATGGTATCGGCTGTTATGAACATTCTTTTTGAGTTTTAGCTACACTCGTTAGGGTTTCACCCGTCTTTGCCGCTTATCACTTACAAGGAGGTCGTTCAGGGTGTGCCAAGCTTTTTCAAAATGGTTTCTTGCATGACATAGGGGCACATGCGGGAACCACAGAACCATGGTTCATTTTTTCCTGAACGGCCCTCTGAATACCAGAAAAGGGGTCCCTAGTTCGATTCCTCGTGGTGACAAATTTTTGCATTTCGAGTTGACGTTTCCAAAATTCGCGCAAAATGGAGTTAGCATGAATAATTAGTACCATATTCATGATTAGGACCGTCAGTAACCCTTACAAATAGACTTTGATTGAAAAACTGGTGAAAAAGGTGTGACTAGGGACCCCCTTTTCTGGTATTCAGAGGGCCGTTCAGGAAAAATTAACCATGGTTCTGTGGTTCCCGCATGTGCCTCTATATCATGCAAAAGACCGTTTTGAAAAAAGCTTGGCACACCCTGAAAGACCTTCCTTGTAAGCTGCCTAATACTATGCCTAGTAATGGAACTTAGTCTAAAATGAGCCTGTGGGTGGAAAAATAAACACATGTATGCTTTTACAATACGAAGGGGAAGCCATTAATGTGGGACATTCTGAAAAGATGTTGAAGTCTTCTTCTGTTTTATCCTAGAAGCTGAAAAAAATTGGATTGTATATGGTTGTGTAAAATAACTTAACCTACCTGAACACCTAGATAGAGAAGGAACCGTTTCTGCATCTCCTTTGTCTTTTGCGACATGCCCCCACTTCTGCGAAGAAAGTGAAATGATGCCAGCACACAGGTTGTAACAGTCACGGTTGCAAGGCAGCACATTACTGTTACTGCTATGGCAAAATATTGCATTTTGTAGGGCATAAAAATTTGAAGACGAGGAACAGAGAACGCTGATTCCGCACATGTGTATTCCTAAAATGATGTATTGTTGAGAAAGCTTCCTCGCTTTGTAAATAGGAGAGATTGCTCTAGTGTGGTGGCGAAATTTCATCTTCCGTCTTCCACAGTTCACCAAATTCAACGAATCATAAGTGCTTTCGAGTCTAACCTCCTGTACGCTTTTTGAAGCCTGGAAAATGCCATAATTTCGACCCATGTACGCCACTGACTTCTTTGCGAATTTTGTCTGGGACACACAGCGAGCGAAGCCTGCCGCAAAATATGCTCTGTGGAAGTAGAGGGAGTGGTAAGTGAAAAAACCTGCCAACTTTGGTTCAGAAGGTTCCGCGAAGGAAACTACAACCTCGAAGATGGACGCCCAACGGAAGTAATCTTCGAACGTTTGGATCTGCCGCTTCAAGACAGCCACAGCCACAGCTGAGAAAAGTCAAGAAACTTGGTCGATTGATCCCGCATGAGGGGACAGAGCAGTCCAAGAAAAAGGATATCGGGTGTGCAGAGGTTTTCTTCTGAAGTCAGAGCCTGTTCCAAAGCAGGAGCTTCATCTAAAAAAGGTTCTTCTGTCAATTTGGTGGAGTGTTCGGAGAATACGTCATTACCAGATGCCAGACAATACCACCGTCGACGTACTGTACTGCTCGCAGCTACGAAAGCTTGCAGCTGAATTCGCGAACTACACCCTAAGCTGGAGTATTGGGTTGTCTCATAATTACTGTCGCATTTCTATTCAATTTCAAATTCCTTCCGTCTAAGACCGTTTCATTGCGAAATACGTTAGTATGTTGAAGTATGCTTCAAGAGCCTTAACAGCATGGTTTCGGAAACGCAAGCCCGTAATGGGTTAATCAACTAGGAATAAAAATAGGTCAGTGACTATAATGAATGATTATGCTTTACGATCCTCAAATGAACTCTGTAGCAAGGAGGACAACAGAGAAGACCAGCGCTGTGTTTGACCAGTCTCTGCTACTGATAGGGTACTGAGCTAGTGGTCCAATCGCAACGGCAAAGACGAAACGAGCTATGAACTTCAACCTCATACTGGGCCTGCGGTCATTTTTGATGAGCGCCCCTTGCACCCTAAATTGGGAGTGCCTCCGTACGTTGCTACCAGGGTATTGTAGCAGATACCTGAGCGCAGCCGATGCACCAGCACACGCCATCAGTATGGCAAGAACTGCTGCAGAATAAAGTCTTGATGAAAACCTTATGGTCCGGCCGACCATGAGCGAGAGAGCACGCCTGACCGTCTGGAAAGAATTCATTCTGGGACGGCAAAAGCAGATCCTTCCCTAATAGGTCACCAGTGGAAATGAGTGATGA